CCATCCTCGTCGCCAGTAATTGTGGTGTATTTGTGTTTATTATTATACGATCGTCATATATAATTACATGTCAATCAATGCAAATCTAACACCCCCCGACCCTCCCCCTGGATCCGCCCTTGTAGCAAGTCTTGACCGGCATCTACGAGATCAGAAATATCCACTTTCCATAATTAATGACCGCCAATTCCAGCAGTCAAAGCAAGTACTTGTGGGAAGAGCCAAACTACTTCGTGAAGAAGAGAAAGGCGAGAGACCAAATGCCTCAAATGCAGTGTCGAAGCTTGAGGAAGAAGAGCTCTGGAAGGAGGGAAAGCTGGGTTCAGACAATCCAAGAACACTCTGCCGGACGATATGGTATATTCTAACGCAGCACTGTGGTCTTAGAGGACGTCAAGAGCACCATTCAATGACAGTAGAGGGTTTCAAACTATGCCGAGATGACCGAGGCGTTGAGTACGTTATTTTCAACGAAAACCCAACCAAGACGAGGCAAGGCGGTTTAAACACGAAGAGAAGACAAGTCCGACCCAAAATGTTTGCCACTGGAGGTCCAAGATGCCCCGTTGGCCTTTTCAAAGAGTTCCTTAACAGACGTCCTCCTGAACTTCGCGAAACTGGTCCTTTTTACTTGGCTATCATTGAAAAGCCTAAAACTGCCGTGTGGTACAAGAAACAGCGGCTCGGTGTGCATACTATTAACCAGATGATAAAGGCTATAATAGAAGGAACCTCTATGGCTGACTCTGGAAAAAGATTGACTAACCATTCTGCCAGAAAAACTGTGGTAAAAAAGCTAAGAGCCGCGAATGTCGAAAGGCAATCAATCATTCAAATCACCGGCCATGCAAGCGAGCAATCCCTCCAAGATTACGATGAAGGAAACGAAGAAGAGCAGAGAGTGTAGAGTATTGGGATACCTGTGTTATCACGTGTCAAGAGTAATAAGAATAAACATGGTTCCGCCATCTTGTCTAAACGTCCTCGTGAAAACTCAACAAATTGGCTACGAGAACGGGATCTTTTCCACGCTTAAACTCAGGAAAACAATCCTAGAGAGTCCCTGGAGTGGAAAATTGGCTGAAAGCTTCCAGGATATAAGCTGTGTGTAAGGAAAAAAAGGAGAAAATGCCGGATGAAGCGAATTCAATACAAGCCGTTGGGAAAGTCTAGAAGTATGTTGTTGGAAGCGACTGGGAGTCGTATGCTGAACAGCTAGACTTTTACTTCGTGGCCAATGGTGTTAAGGACGCAAATAGGAAGAAAGCTATCCTCCTAACAAATATTCCGACGGAAACATACCAGCTTATAAAGGATTTAGTGGCTCCAGAAACACTAAGAAGCGATTCAGTTACGTGCGATGTTATCGTCGAGCGGCTTGCGGGTCAGCTAAAACCACAAAAGTCTGCCTTGGTAGCCAGGTATGAATTAGACAATCGAACCAGGAAACTGGGTGAGTCAGTCAATGAATATGTCGCAGTCCTGAAGCATTTAGCTACCGAGTGCAAGTTTAATGAAGCGATGCGAGCCGAACGTCTACGCGATAGATTGGTCCCGGGAATTCGCGACGCCAAGATGATAAGCGAGCTGCTCAAGGTCAAGCTCTCAGACCTCACGTTTGATGTTGCAGTGCGAAAATGCTTGGCGATCGAACAAGCGAA